TCTCTCTCTACCTCTCTCTCCCTCCCTCCCTCCCTCCCTCCCACATTCCTCCTGCTTCCTCCCTGGCCTCAATCTATTACCCCTTTCCTTTTCTCCCTAAGCCTCTCCCTAGCCCCTCCCCACACCTCTGATCTTATCCAAAACGAGGCAAAGGCCTCCTATGTTCTTTCTACCCTTTAGCAGAATTCCCACCGGCCTCAGACTGTCAGAGAAAACTTCCATCTCCTGCTTATACTGGCAAAGTCTTGATGACAACAGATTCTTTCAAATCGAGACATGTACAGACAGAAACAATATGTCAGGAGTGACGCTCCAAAGAGTAAAGACACCCACTAAGTGTAGGGTGGGAAAAGATGAATATTCAGGTGAGGACAACATCGGTATTAGAAAATCAGCCGATGTTTAATGATGGAGTGAAAGATGCCTTCATGGGGCTGCCAGGAACGGCGATGACAACAGACCGTGCATTGTCATTTTGCCTCACTTTGGATCACAGCTCTGAAATCAAAGGAGGAAGACAGAGAGGTGCTGGCTTTTAAGCTAGTTAAAAATTTTTAGATGACAAAGAGCTGCTGTTTCCAGACATTCTTCTTATAGTCAAAGAGACAGCCTATGACACAGGCTGCCAATCACCCCTAGACGCTGAGTGACTTTGCTTCCATCCTAAGGGCCAATGTGAGTTCCCAGAGAGGAGGGTTACCCAACCTGTTAGGATCAGAGTGTGGGCCCTGGCTGGATAACAAACCAGATACGCTACCCACTCTCAGTAGACCAATTCAAGAGACAGAGTAATAGTGAAAAGCAGAAAACGAAGGTACATTCAGTGTGGCAATTGGGAAAAGGAACAAGGAGATCTGATGACTCCCCAAGTCCATCTTTATGGTCCTAAGATGATATTTAGTTTTAAATAGAGGGCCAGGGGTATGCATAGCTAAGCAGTTCTGTCCAAGGAAGGGTTCTGCCTATCACCGCTTGTCTCAGCTCGGGCATCTCCTGCAATACAGGCTGATGAGCTATAAATCTCTTTCTGGAAGACAAGCTCCCTCTGGTTGAAAGTCCAGGCTTCCAGGCTTTTCCTTCTTCTATCACAAGATTCTGAAGGAAATTCCAGTTTCTTGGAACCTATAGACTGATAGCCAGAGGGAAGGGCACACGTGACTCTTTAGAATATCTTCATCCCAAGGGGCCTGTGAGATGTTGCTCAGTTTGATTTTGATCCTTGTGGCCCACAGTAGAAGGAAAGAAATGATTCCTCAGAGTCAACTCATGACCTCCACATGTACTCTGTGGTAAGCAAACACCCCCAGCACCTATCATACATGCATATATACACATATACACAAATAATAAATGATATTTTTAGATTTTTTTAAATGGGGCTAGAGATACAATTTCATAGTTAAGGGCACTTTGTGTTCTTCCAGAAGAACTAAGTTCAGTTACTAGCATCCATGACAGGAGGCTCCCAACAAACGTAACTGTAGCTCCAGACAGTTTGACACCCTCTTCTCACCTCAGTGGGCGTCCACATACATGTAGCATGTACTCACATGTACACAGAGACATATACACAAAAATTAAGATTTCAGCTTTTTTTTTTTTTAAATCAAGGAGCTGTGCAGGATGCTCAGAAGGTGAGGAAACAGAGCAGATGACCTCTGCTCTCACCACATCCTACGTTCTAGCACAGCATTTACATGCTAGCACAGTGGTTCTTGACTTTGAGCAGGCATTCTCGTGGCCCACAGGCTTGTTAAGCACAGATGCAGACGCCAGCCCATCCCCAGAGCTCCTTACTGAGGCGATCTGGACCGAGGCCTGGAATTTATGTTTCTAATAAGTTCCCAGGTGATGCCGTCACTGCTGCCATCCTGCTGAGAACCAATGTCCTAGTGAAACAACACCACAAGGACTAATAGTTGGGAAATTATGAGCGCAATGAGGCAGCCAGGAGTCTCCTTCCCAGCTCAGCGAACAGTCTGCCCTGCCCCAGCACCTGCCCTACACAGAGCCCAGCTAACAGGCACATTCACCAGGGCTTCCTGTCTCCTGGTGACTTAGAATAGGCTCCAGCAGCCCCGCCAAGTGATAAGCCAGTGGGCTTCCAGCCTGCCTGTCCCTTGCTGGTCTTGGGAGATCTATTTCCCTTTGTTCTAGGTCATGTCAGAGTGTCAAAAGCGGCAGCTTCAATCCTGAGTGTAATGCAAGTTTGCCATAAAAACACAAGAGCAGATTGCCGAAGCCACAGAACGAAGGCTTTTACAATATCAATTCAACCCTTGTAAATTTAATCCAGGGTTATTTGTTGCACCCAAATCTCTTTACTGTGATGTATGACTTAGTTACCGGGGTTATCACAGCCGTATCCTAAAGTTGCATAGTACATAAAACATTTCAGTTCCCAATGCAGGGAGGTTAACTCCCCCAGATAACCCGCAATCACAAAGGTTAGTCCCGATGACATCCCTCTGTCAGCTCACAGGAGCTATTGATGGTCCAATCAGTTTGTTTTGAAGGAAAAGAACAACAAGAGGCCAGTAAACTTATTCAGACTGTCAACAGGGGCTATGGGGAATGG